CCCCGGGGGGGGTGCGGGGGGGGGGGGTGTTTTGGGCTGGGGGTGGCCGTCGTTCCAGGGGGGGTTTCTCTTCTTCTTTCCCCCCCTCTTTCCCCGCCCCTTTTTTTTTGTCCTTTCTTTTTTTTTTTTTTTTTTTTTTTTTTTTTTTTTTTTTTTTTTTTTTTTTTTGGGGGGGGGGCCCCTCGCCCGGCCCCGGGGTCGGGGGCCCCAATTGTTTCAAATTTCGAAAATATGGTGATGGGGGGGGGGGGGGGGGGGGGGGGGGGGGGGGGGGGGGGGGGGGGGGGGGGGTTGGCGGCGGTTGGTGGGGCCCCCCTTCTCTTTTCGTTTCGTCTCCGGGGGGGGTTGGGGGTTGGGGGGTGGGGGGGGGGGGGGGGGGCGGGTGGCCTGTCCCGCGGGTGGGGGGGGGGGGGCGGGGGGGGGGGGGGGGGGGGGGGGGGGGGGGGGGGGGGGGGGGGTGGGGGGGGGCGGGGGGGGGGCCGAAGTAGGTTGGGTTGGTTTTTTTTTTTGTTGTGTTTGTTTTTATTTTGTTGTTTTTGTTTTTTTTTTGTTGGGGGGGGGGTGGGGGTGGGGGTGTTTTTTTTGGTTGTGTTGTGGGTGCTTTTTGGCCCCCTCCCGCCGGGGGGGGGTTTGGGATGGGGGGGGGGGGGGGGGGGGGGGGGGGGGGGGGGGGGGGGGGGGGTAAGCTTTTTGTCTTCGTGGGGGGGGGGGGTATCCTTTTGTTTTTGGGGTTTGGTGGGGTGTGTTGGTGGGGTTGTGGGGTTTGGGTGTTGGTGTTTGTTTTGGTTTGGGGGGGGGGGGGGGGGGGTGGTGGGGGGGGGTTTTTGGGGGGGGGTTTTGTTGTTTTTTGGGTTTTTTGTTGTGTTTTTGTTTTTTTTTTTGTTTTTATCCCCAGGGGGGGGGTGGCTGGGTTGTTGCTGAGTTTGGGGGGGGTTTTTAACCCCCCCTTTAAAAAAATTTTTTTTAAACCCCCCCTTTCCCCCCCCTTTTTTTTTTTTTTTTTTCCCCCCCCCCCCCCCTTTTTTTTTTTTTTTTTTTTTTTTTTTTTTTTTTTTTTTTTTTTTTTTTTTTTTTTTTTTTTTTTTTTTTTTTTTTTTTTTTTTTTTTTTTTTTTTTTTTTTTTTCCCCTTTTTTTTTTTTTTTTTTTTTTTTTTTTTTTTTTTTCTCCCCCGCCTTTTTTTTTTTTTTTTTTTTTTTTTTTTTTTTTTTTTTTTTTTTTTTTTTTTTTTTTTTTTTTTTTTTTTTTTTTTTTTTTTTTTTTTTTTTTTTTTTTTTTTTTTTTTTTTTTTTTTTTTATATTACTAAATTATAATTTATAGCCATACAAGTATGTACTTATACTAAAATCTACAGCTACATCTTTTTTTTTTTTTTTTTTTTTTTTTTTTCCTTGTTAATAAACTGTTTTTAAATTTTTTTTTTTTTTTTTTTTTTTTTTTTTTTTTTTTTTTTTTTTTTTTTTTTTTTTTTTTTTTTTTTTTTTTTTTTTTTTTTTTTTTTTTTTTTTTTTTTTTTTTTTTTTTTTTTTTTTTTTTTTTTTTTTTTTTTTTTTGTCCAAATTCGAAAACTCAATTTTTTTTATCTGTGTGGTCATATGCTTCCTTGTTTCCAAAGGGAATTTTTCCTTGGTAGGACACAGCAACGAGGCTAAAATGTATATTAAATTACGGTTCCTCTGGGTTGAACGGGGGTTCCAGAGATGCATCTTTTAGATGCTGCATCCAGTTTTTGAAGCTCTTCATTGGAGCCATCTTTTTGTACGTGTGGTCCACAAAGTGTACTTTCTATTAGAAACACAAGATAAACCCGAATAATAACGCGAAAATATGTTTCTACTTACTTATTTTGACCGTTGCCACATCGTTTATTAAGTATCTAAGTTCGTTAAAAAAACTTTATTTATAGTGTTTTTAAGACGACACTTCAAACTCTTCAAAGCGCAAATACCACATAAAAAATGGAAGCGATTGATCCAGCAATATTCTAGTGTTGTCATACAAATAATGTTCCCACACCACATTTTTGGGCTTCTTCCATGCATGGCAAATTGACAAATTGTTCTTAACATAGGCAGACATCACCAGTTAACAGTCTGGCCAATTTACTACGGATCAAAAACCGGCCCCTTAGAAACCCCAATGGGGCCCCTTTTTTTTGGTACCCCCTTTTTTGCGGGGTGGGGTTTTCGGGTTTCGTTGAGGGGGGGGGGGGGGGGGAGAGACCCCCCCCCGGGGTTTTTCCCCCCCCCTTTCCTCCTCTTTTTTTTTTTTTTCCCCCCAACCCCCCCCCCCCCCGGCCTGCCCGGGTTTTTCGGAAAACTGCAATAAACAATACCGGCACTAGTCCACCAAACGCTTACAAGTAACTTTTTTGGGGTTAATTTTCGCTTGGGGCAGGATTTGGCTGGCTGGCCAGGATCCAACCATTGCGCTGAGCGCTTCCGATTATCGTAAAGAATCCATTTTTCATCACAGGTAATGATTCGGTTTAAAATACCTTCATTATTGTGCCGGTTCAGTAATGTAACGTAGCAGTCGACGCGCGTTTGCCGGTTTGCTTCAGTCAATTCGTGAGGTACCCATCTTTCAAGCTTTTTAATCTTCCCAATGTGCTTCAAGTGAATTAAAACAGTTTTATCACTAACACCGCAGCCTGCAGCTAACAAGGACGTGGTTTGCGATGGATCCGCTTCCACAATAGACTTCAATACATCATTATCAACTTGGGTCTCAGGCCGTCCACGGGGCTTGTTCTGCAGGTCGAAATTTCCAGAACGAAAACATTGGAACCATAAACGAACTGTGTTTTCTTTTGCAACATGACCGCCATACACATCATTCACCCTTCGAGTCGTTTCCGCAGCACTAGTGCCACGGCGGAACTCGTACTCGTAAATAATGCGATACTTTAAGTTTTCCATTTTGTAAAATGAGTGACGCAAACAAAAAAAAAACAGAAGAAAATAACAAATGAATGACGGTCATCGAAGCACAAATACATGAGTAATTAGCTGTACAAATTTGAATTTGGAATTCCTTACCAAAGAGGAGAACATCGTGATTAAAGTGGCCAGTACGAAATACGCCAATTTCATATGTAAGGACCTAATATTATGTAGCGGTATAACCATGCAACTGAATCTAACCACATCATTGTATTTCTAATACTTAAAAATAAAAATCAGTTTATTGATTTTAAGTAGGTACATATGCGTTACAATGTGTAAGATTGGGAATTGTTTAAGTAATAATGTCAGGGTTCCCTGCTCTTCCATAACAAACTTAATTATAAATTCCTTAAAATATTTTTATATATAACTTAATTACATCTTTTATTTTATTTACTGTTGAGTGCAAGAAATTTGTTTTATTGGCCGCTCCCCATAACGAACGAGTGCCATGTAAATTCTTGTAAAAATTACATACGATGTAATGTGTCGCAAAATTTTAAAAATTAATGTGAATTTCCTTAACCTCCCAGTCATGGACTCAATATGGGGATACCATGATAGTCGGTCGTCTATATGAATGCCTAAATATTTGTTATTTAAAACTTTTGTTATTGGAAGACACGGGCAGTTGTCTCTTTGCATATCGCAGTTATGTATTTTTATTTTAAAATCTTTAGATGGTTGAGTTCGAATAGAAATTCTGAAACATATATAGTTGGTTTTCTCTTTATTGAGGGACAAATGGTTAACATAAAGCCACTTAGCAATAGTTGTCAGTCCAGTTTCCGTTGATTTTTTTACTTCTGCCCAGTTACTTATTTTATTATTTGCGAATCGGTAAAGAATTTTTTTTTGTCAGTCAGTTAATTATATGGTTTTCTCAAAATTTACATACATCGTATAGGTATCTCCGAAACTGTGAAATCACGCTTTAAAATAAATTATTTTACAGGGTAGCCTCTATGCAGAGTACCTTTTATTTATAAATTCCGAGTTAAGTAATGATGTACTAACCTGCGGTCTGTAAGCATCGTTTTCACCAGCTTTCACTGATATTTTTGGTGAGGATATTTCAACTAAAATAAAAATGACATCAGGTTATAACAAGTAAATATTTTACATTTATATTTTATATAGATATAACATAACCATTTGGGATATATACCTACGTCACCTACTAAAAATCGTTCATAGAAAGTAATTACGAAATATTCGGAACCCCAAACGTCAGTATTTATTGTATCTACATCTGAATCTCTTAAAGTAAAGGACATAACTCCTCGTGATTCACCGTTTTTCTTTTTTGTTCCAATAATTCTTGGACTGTGTTTAGCAATTATTATACCCACTATCAGAGCATTGCAAACATTTATATCAAGATTATTCAAACGAATTTTTTGAACACCGACCATTGTAAGGACGAAAAGTTCATTCCAATAAAAAATGCAGACTGTTTTAAATTAATATTAAGACTCCGTACTTGTGTTTTCTATAATATAAAAATATATTGCTTTTATTTCAAATAATAGTTGGTTATAAATAAATAAAAATTGCCGCGAAATTTACAAGAATACCATAAACTTTAATAGGTTACCACAGAATAAAATTTTTTTTTTTTAAAATTTGTAGTCTGTTAAATGTAATATTTAAGAAGTAGGAAGTTTTTACAGAAATCATTATAAATTGTAGGAAAAAGTAAATAGTTTAATTAATGTATATTTTGGTTTCATTTATACGGCTTGGGCTAACGGGTAGTTAACTCTGTGCATAATTTTCTATAATAAGTATCTTAGACTATCTATCAACGTCAAAGTTTTCGACTTAACGCTATGTCATCTTCCAAATAAACGGCGCCAAAGTGCAAACAGCACACAGCACAGCACACTGGAAACGTAATAAATAAAAGATTCTCGTTTTTTATCCAAAAATTAAGTCTATTATAATACAGTAAAGTAACATGATTATTACATAAACAATTAAGGTGATAAAGCAATTAAATACTTTACTATCTTTAATTTTGTCCTAGTTTGTTAAGTGAAATAAAAACAATATGATTTTTAAAGTCAAAGCTCCATCAATGGATTCTGGTGAGGATTTTAACGCCGTTGAAATTGAACGACAAAGTTTGGATTACAAAGATTGTTCTAAACGCTTTTACGAAGTATCTCGAGACTATTCTAAACAGTATGCTCACATATATTCTGCAAGGTTAAACACATTTAGAAATATCTTGGGTCCTTTAATTAATAAAAAGTGGTCAAATAAGTACAAGATTTTAAAACTTTGTGATTTGCGAGAGAAAGGAGAACCTTGTGTCATTATCGGTACACTTTTTAAACTGCAAGAACTGAAACCTAGTATTTTGAAGGAGCTTTCAGATCAATTGGAAATTATACCACAGCCAGCTAGGTAAGAGTTTTTATAAATGATGTAGGATATAATTACTTTACTTTGTATTTCTTTATTATCCCTAGGGGTTTGGGACCAGCTTTGGACCATGATTAAAAATAAGTATTTAAAAAAAATATTATTGTTATTAAAATCTTTTAAAGAACAGTACTGTTCATTAGGATTTTATTATATATTCAGATGGATTCTGTCAGTAGGATGTAGCTTACTTATTATTGCAGGTATAAAGAGAGTTTTTCATGGCACTTTGAAACTAAATATTGCTTCAAAACAATGTAGTTTTATTTTAAGATTTAGCTAGCAATATTGGAATCTCATATTAATATATGTAATTATTTACTTGTACTTTAAATGTTGTTGTTATTTTGACCATGAAATAGGTAAGATTAAATTTTTTTTAAATATAGTGACAATATTCAAATGATTGCTAGTTGAAACCAGGATCAAATTACAATTCATATGTCTAGTATTTAATTATCTTATTTTCACTTTTAACAAGAAAAGTCCCATGAAAAATATGTAATTTTCTGTATGTATTATTCAGGACCCATTTTGTACATGAAACTGACACTGTAGTATTGGAAGATGAATTACAAAGAATCAAGCTGTCAGGCCTCTGCATTAATACTGATGAAATTGTCACTGGAGTTGTCGTTGCTATTCTGGGTAATAATTTCTTTTTTACATACACAAAAGTAATACTCACATTATTTAGTTTTATTTTTCCTTAAAATGTTGCCTGTAAGAGATTTCTCAAAAGTGAAATGGTCGCCGTTGCACTTCGTATTATTTAATTATTATAACTTGTACTGATTTTTGCAACTGACTTTGACAGATAAAATATGATACTTTAAAAAAAAATTGATTGGTTTTCTTTTCAGGATCTGAAGATGAAGATGGCATATTCTCTATACAGGATATATGCTGGTCTGGCTGTAATCTACAAAAGCCTCTACCAGAGTCAACCAGTGATAGGTATACTATATCTATATATAGAATATAATGTGAAGAATGTTTAGAATGTATGTTTCTCTGAACCATTGCAAAAAAACTGCTACACTAAATAATATGCTAAAAACTAAGAATATGATTTTGTTACAGCAAATGAAGCTCGATTTTTTATACAGCTACTTCTTGCATTTACATAGCTCTGTTGATTTTCCAGATTTGTAGTTTTGATGTCTGGAATTAACTTAGCATCCAAAACTGCTGATCATCTGTTTTCCTTAAATCTTTTTCTGGAGTGGATATCAGGGTTTTGTGGAACATCTGAATATCAAGAAGAAATTTCAAAAGTTGTAAGAGTGATTATAGCAGGTAATTTATATCTACAGCATATTTAAAATAGGGTTTTTATATTCAAATCGTTCAAGTAGTAACTGATAAAAAATACTTTGTTGTGTGTAAATGTTTTTTTGCCTCTTAGTAATAATGTATTATTATAAAATATAAATGATCTTTAGGATATATAATAAAAATAAAAACTATAAATATAAATCAATTTCTTTAATAAAACAATTATAGGTTTTTAATATTTTTTGTAGGTGGTGTTTATGCCAAACATTCAAATGATATTATGCTCAGTGAAGCTGATGTTATTGCAGCATCAGAACAGGTGGATTCATTTTGTGCAGCTGTTAGTGCTACTGCTCCTTTAGACTTGATGCCAGGATGCAAAGACCCAGTAGGGATAATGTTGCCGCAAAAACCATTCCACTATTGTAAGCAAATTTAATAACTCAGTGTAACTTACCTACTCACAGTGGAAATTATTATCCATTCCTAAATTTTATTATAGTGAATATATAGTAATGTGAATATGATGGGTCCTTATGTATTGTACAGTATTAATGACATTCTCAAAATTATTTTATCCTTTGTTTATAGCCTGGGTTTGATTCTTGATGAAATATATTCTTTTTATAGAAAAAGAACTAGAAATGAAACCTATATGAGATAAGATATCTATATTTTGCAGGTCTATTCCCTAAGGCTGTTGAATATAAATCATTCAACAGGGTCTCCAATCCTTACGAATGTGATATTGGTGGTAAGCTTTACAATTACTTTCTTTTCTGTTTAAACATAACTCTCATAATCATTTAAGTAACTAAAATCATTAAGGGACTTTAATGATGTTATTAATATTTAGCATAATAATAATTGTAACTTCGACATTTTGGAACAATTTTGAAGGCACAGAACCATTATTTAACCATGTATTACTTGGTAGATGCTTGTCTTGGTCCCTAACTACCTTAATTAAACTAAATCTTACTTAATCAAAAAATAATCTGCTTTTTACAGGCTTGACTTGTTTGGGTTCTTCTGGTGAACCAGTAAAAGATATTATGAGATATAGTAAATTAAATAATGAAATTGAAGTAATGAAGAAGACACTACAATGGAGACATATGGCCCCAACATGTCCTGACACAGTGCCATGTATACCCTGTCTGGATACAGATCCATTTACTATGTACAACTGTCCTAATATATATTATAGTGGAAATGCAGGAGAGTTTTCAACTGAACTTTACAAGGGTACGAAAAATACATAAATATTTCATATAAAAGGGTGTCAAATACACAGACATAACATACATAAGTATGTGGAGAATTAGAAATTTTACTTAAAAATAATTTCAGTTAGTTGTAATACTTTTAATACATTCTTATATAAATGCGAAATTACTTAATATTATGTGTACTTAGTTAATTTTTGTTTTTAACTCTTAGTCCTTTATACCCCAAAACTTATTTTTGAGGTATAAGAAAAAAGTAGCTTGTTTCAAATGATTTTTATTTTCAGGCGAAGGTGGACAAAAAGTTCGTCTGGTAGCCGTTCCCGATTTTTGTGAGACAAAAACTATAGCTTTAATTAATTTGGCTAATTTAGAATGTTTTAGTATGACATTTTGTTAAGGGATTTATTAGAAATTAAAAATAGAGTTGTTCTAAGTTCATATATTTTTATTACCTACTAGCGGACCCGACAGACATTGTCCTGCATGATAATTAGTTTATTAAAGAAAGTATGATAGTACTGACTGCACTGCTATCTGCTTTGCTGATTTGTGAATCTAAACCATCCAGGGCGTCACCCAAACGTATACAAAAAAAATCATTCAAATTGGTCCAGCGGTTTAAGAGGAGTTTAGTGACAAACACACATTCAGCAGAATTATATATAATACTAGTGGACCCCACAGACGTTGTCCTGCATGATATTTAAAGCGATTAGGATATTAAGCAAAGTATGAAAGTACCGACTGCAGTGCCATCTGCCGCGCTGATTTGTGAATCTAAACCATTCCCAGATCCCCTTGAACACACACAAAAAATTTCATCAAAATCGGTCCAGTCGTTTGAGAGAAGTTCAGTCACATACACACGCACAGAAGAAATATATATATTAAGATATACAAAATATATTTTATACCTACATATTAGCTCATACAGTTTCTTTCTTCTAGTCTCCCTTTCTAAAAGGGTTTTTAATGTAGTGTGCTGATCTAGTAATAAGTATAGTCTATTACATATATTACCTTTTTTAAATAAATTTATTGATTATTATTTTATATGTATTTTATCAATATAATAACTCCGATCGAAGCATTTGTTTTAAAAGATATTTATTTTTCATTAATCCTCTTTGACGATATTTGCAGCACGCATTCTGTCAATGTTATGTCAAACGCCATAAGGTTACATAAAAAAAGTTTGAATTGTATGGTGGTTAACTATTCTTAAATTTTCTAATTTTCCGCACAATTTTTTTTTTTTTATTTATCTTTTATCAATATTCGAACGGATTAATTTCAATAAATTCTGGTCCATTCAAAGACATTTTTGTAATTCAGCTATATATCTATATTTATATATACAGGGTGGTCAAAAAGTCGTGGATGAAACGCAACTAGGGGTTAGATGGGGTCGTCAGCTGCAAAAAAATGTTCTACGGGAGGTCCTTCAGCTCAACCCCTGCAGAGTTATAGTTTATTTTGCGGTTTTATAAAAAAATTACTTTATTTAGTAATTCTTATTAAAATTCGAAAAAATCTACAACCTGTATCTTTTTCGTAATATCCACTAGATTGATACTGACGAGTCCTTGCGTAAACGAGACTTGATACACAAACATCTCAATGATCATTAAAAAATCCCTTACAATTTTTTTTAAATACATTTTTTGTTAATGTGCTGAAGTGCAAAACATAAGGAGAAAGTGTCTTTACAAGAGATGCACAAGTACGAAAAGAACAATTATGAAAAGGGCTAGTGTATCTCGAATTTCATGGTTGTATATATTGTTATGAATTGTTATGTTTTTTTTTTTTTTTAATGGCTCTGGCACGATTTGTGCATTAGCCAGCGTCAAGTATAGGATTTTTTTATATAATTCGTGCATGTCTTTAGAAATTCGACTGTGTCCTTCATGTACAGTTTAAGCACTCGCCCGGTACCGCACAACCCTCCCAAAGGCCGAGAACAAATTTAAATTAAAACTTTCCCTCGAACCGGGAATCGAACCCGGTACCCCTCACCTAGCTGCCACTTAATAAGACCGCTAGGCTATGAGGCCCCCAAAAAAATTGTTATGTTCGTTAGAAATATCAAAGTCAAATAGGTGTCCACTCTTATTTTTAAACGGTTCCTGCTTCCTATTCTAATTATTTCCACATAAATAAAAGTACTCTGTGGGACTTGTAAGATGACATAGAGTATATTATAATATATAGGTTGACAGATGATTAACGACGGAACATAGCATTTTATATTATCTGTTGCTCATTGCTGCCTATTACTCATCATGGACCACGATTAGGAAGACGTATTGTTTATTTCTCTCGTATTTAAAATCCTCATGATGGGTTTCTAAAGTTTTTTAAAACGCTTGCACACCACAGTGTGCCTTCACAAGTTATAAAAATGTTGTAAGTATCATACATTTTGTATTTTGTTACTAACAAATTGAAATTTATTTGCATTCCACTGTAACTTTCACAGTTTCTTAAGCGTCGCTCGCGTAATTATTTCTGACGCACTACTTTAATGCCTTGTACTGGTATGTTCCTACAAAACATTAATGAGTTTTGCCGTTTTCTAACAGTCAGCATAATACATAAATAGTATATTCATGAATTATTATGAAATTATAACTAGGTAGTTGTGTACCTACATTATTTGTACCTCAATACATCTTTGAATTTTCTTCACAGATTCTTAGCTTCTAACACAAAACCTTTTCCTGTAGATTGTTCCAGAGTAATTTTGATCAATAAACTGCTAATATTATATGACTAATGAGTATAGGTAATTTACATGGATGTGTTCACTTAATTTATTAAAAGACGTGATATTATGGCGATGTTATATTGCTTCGTCAACAGATTCTTTCAAGCTTCTCATACAGCTAGTTATGTAAAAACTTGCATAATATTTTGAAATGTATAGATTGTACTATTACTGTTAAATGTGGACATAGCTAGTTTTGTAATACTGCCTCAGGCTTTTCAATCATGTTCAGATATAATCGTAGTTCAACTAGTAGTTTGTCTAGATTTACACTATATGTATTTCTGAGTTTTCGATAAATAACATTTTTACCATAAATATTAATCATCAATAGTTTATTAAAAATCAATTTGTATGTTCATACGTTAAAATCCAAAAAGACCAAATTCACTATTAGAAAACACATAATAGAAATAAACTATCCCTGAGCAAGATAGGCCTTATTTATTATCACTATGTGGACCAGCTACCCACTTAAGTATTTCCAACCCCATTTGACTTAGGGTCCTTTAAGAAAGAGCATACTAATTCTTAAAAGGCCAGCAAAGCGGTTGCGAGCATTGTGACAATGTTAGTGTCCATGGGTAGCAGTATCACTTAACATCAGGTGAGCCTTCTGCCGATTTGCCTCCTGTTACATAAAAAAAATCATAACATTTTGTACCTTGAAACAAAGTTTTGTTTCTATTAATCTCCATTAAACACACTGTAATATAACTGTACGGATTTGTTACTTAAGTTAATTAATTAAAGTTTAGCCTGGGATTACAAAAACTAAATGTAGGAGTTTTTGCTTAGTAGGTAGGTAACTCTAGGTGACTAGTTAATGTTATGTTCTTGAGTGTTGTATTTTTACTTTCAACAAATTATCAAATGTATATATTTTTAATATACGTGCCCTTGTGTAAATTAATAATATGTGCGCTTGATTATTATATTCTTTTTAATTATTATAATTTATAACAAATGCAATCTGTTTCTCTCCCAAAGTTAGAAGACAGAATGTCAATTTATATATTAAAAACCTGTGCCAACAAAAAACAGTTTACAATCTGTTTTTTTAAATTGTTTAAAATTATATTAGATGAGATAGGTCACTACAGTTTTGAAATGTTGACGAACAGGATGTAAACCAAGATAAGGATTAAACCTAGTTGAAAGAGATACATAGAAGCTATAAGATAAGGAGTTTGAAGAAAATATTATATTATATCTGCAAACAGAACAAAAATACTTGTGTTTCAATTAAACATTATGGTTGGCTATAATAAGGGTAATAAGTTTATGAAATCAAATTTTCAATTTCTATAAAACTTTAACATTGTTCTAAATTTCCTTTTGCTTAAGATTTAGCAAAAGCATAGCGTATAGGCTTGAAATCACTTAATACATCACATAAAGGTATCTCACTAACTAGTTTGCATGCTCTATTAGAATACCATGTCTAATAAAAATGCATAATATTTTCAGTGCCGAAATGGCGTCGTCACCTCAGGACAGCTTTGTCCCTCAACTGCGATTATCATCAGAGTCATCAGACAACAACATCTCTCGACTTAATTTCATCTCTCTATCCCTGGTAAGTTGATGTTTTATCAAATAATTATAAATTTTATTTTCACTTCCTACTAAATGTAGAATTACAATAAAATATGGCTTAGGTATGTTAATTAATAATAGACATAAGATTTATATTAAAATAGACAAAAACAATGTATTGTCTTGTCTTTGCTATTTTTCCTTATTAAATAAAAACAACATAGATTAGAGGGAGGGTTTCTTTATTATAAATTTTATTCACAAACAATTTCATGAGTTACATTAGTGGGTAATTTATATTTTTAAAGGTATTAACTATTACGTTTTTTATTTATTAGTTCATATTTTTTGTACAATTATATGACTCTTTAACTTCATTAAACAATATTGAAATGAGTTTGTATTAAAAATACTATGTGTAAAAAGTAATCCTGGTTCTATTATACTAAATATGTTACTTAAAATTATCAGTAATATAGATGCATACTTTTCTTTGCATGGATTGAAATTTCACCCATGCTCTCTTATGCATGAATCCCATGGCCTAATTGGGCATGTGGCATTCCTGCGTCTGCTTTATTTTTCTTTATACCTTTGATAATAATATAAGTTTTAAGCCTGCAGTTCTTGAAACTTCATGGATTTTTGGCTTTAGATATGTTTGTTGCCTACATTTTTTCTGGTGCAGGAATACAATCTCTTGGTTTAATGTCTGCTATCATGTATCTTTAATTAATATGAAAATTTATGAATTTCAGAAACTTAACCTCAGCAATGATGAGTACGAGCGAATGGGATTGGTCTTTGGCTTCGGCCGACGGCCTTCTAACATGTAATGAAAAATCTTTGCTGCTCGAAGTAGACCTCTTCCAACATGATGACGGTGTGTATAGAATATTCAATTATTTATAAATAGAATACCGTTGTCGTTGTTAATATGCTTCATTGGACCCACTTAACCTATAGAGTTATTCCTATAACACCGAATATGCGAGATAAAAACAGAAGCGTATTGGTAATTTTAATTAGTTTAATTTTTTTTAAATTAGTGTACCACGTTTCGCTCATTTCACAATTTCAGTGCAAAA